ATTAATGTAATTATTAATTTCAACATTTAAACAAAGGTCTAAAAATCAACTCAGTCTACCTTCATAAACTCCAATAATTCCCAAATGATTTTCATTTTACCATTATTAGCGATAATGATCATTTTTATCATTAACAATAATGAAAAACTTCAGGATGAACTCAAAAAGATTAAAACAGAAATCAGATCAAAGGTTTTATTGGAGTGAATTTCTATAAAACAAGCAAAGTTCAGAGAAAACCTGCAGATTCATAAACATCAGAGCAGAAAATCATGACAGGATGTCAGATGATTGATCAGGTTCTCACTGACAGACAACAGAAAACACAACCGTCCTGTTTGGCTTCAAAGTATATTCTTTAAAATGTAACATGAAAATAACAATGTGAAAATCAGTTTCTTGCAGGTTTTCTTTCCTTTTATGTGACAAAATAATTCACAAGAGTTTTGATGCTTAGGAGTAATAAAAGTAAAATCTGAGGAGAAACGTTCTTATTGGACAAACTTTTATCAAGCAAGTTCCAAGTTTTTATAAGTTGTTTTCATTTAGTTACTTGAGAGAAAAATATCAGATAATAAAACAGAAACTCTGATCAGTCTGTAAACCAGCTGGACCAGTGACCTCTGACCCCAACTGGGCTCCAAACAGAGCAGAATAGGAATGCTTTAAAGGTACAGTACCAAACTATTACCGCCATCTAGTGATCAGACTGGGACAAAGCATCTGCCGTTGATCTATCAAGATGTTTTAGGAGAAAGGTCACAGTTGATCTATCAAGATGTTTTAGGAGAAAGGTCACATGTAACATCAGCGTTTGGACGTGTCAAAAAAAAGATTAACAGATTTAAACACATTTAGAGAAACTAAATAAAAATACTTTAAATCCAAACTCAACAAAATAAAAGAACCACAAAAACAAATCAAATAAACTCACGAAGGATTCGGAGGTCAAATTAGGTCAAAACAAGCTGAATTATATCAGATTTCATAGATTTGGTTCTGAAATTAAATAATCCAACTTCAACAAAACGTTTAGGTTCAACAGAATATTTAAGTTTGTTCAAATCACATAAATGACTAAAACGTTCTGAGTTTTATAATTGGATGTAACATCATCATAAATATAGACATCAATGTGCAAAACGCAGCTTTTATCGGAAATGTTTAGGTTTCAATTCAAGTTTACCGAGAATAAATAAATATAAAGATGTTTTTGAAATTTTGGGGAAATTTGAGGACAAAAATCAAACAATTCATAAAAGAAAAAAATATTTAAATATTTATACATTCTTTTGTTTTAATGGCAGAACGTTTGGTGAGATTTCGTATGTAACTAAAAACATGACAAAGTCAAACATTTAACGTGTAATCAGAGTCCTAGTTTATCATTCAGGCGACAGAAAGGTTTTTATTGTGTCCTAAAAAGAAAAACTATTTTTTATTCCCTTCAGCAGGTAGAAACTCCACTCAGCACGGTCCTACAGCACCAAAAACACGCCTGAGCAGAAACAGTGCAAAAACAGGTGCGAACGCCCACATAAACCCATTACCCACAATGCCTCGGTGCACAGCTTAAACAAGTGTAACCCTAAACGGCTCAGAGATGCTTTCAATCTAACGTAACAGGTCATAAAAATAATAACACCTAAAGCACAATGATCCCATTTTCATAGGAGACGAGTCGAATAAAAAAAACACGGAAAGCGGTTTTAAATAAGCAGGAACCTTTAGGCTGTCCTTTGAACTTTAGATGCTCGCCGTTCCTGAAACTAACCCAAAGCAGACCAGGCCAAACTACAAACTCAATAATACACAGAAATCCTCTGTAGAGTCTGGAGCAGAAGATCCACTTCCATCCGGAATCCGGGATCCAGGATCAGAATGTTAGGAACCCAAACGCGGGTGAACTGAAGTTTGGACGGTAACAACTTCCGACCATCGATCAGACCCGGATGAACAGGAGCTCTGGATCATTCCCATATTTGGTCATGCATCATCACAGGAAAGCTGAGATGTAAGCGTAAGGCTCCTCCCCCTCCAGTTGGCTCATGGGTCCCTGAACCTGGCTTTAAAATCCATCTTCTAGTCCAGGTCGCCTCACGCCCTGAATCACACGCTGTACTTCGGTGAGTTTCGACTACGTCTGAGATTTATTAGCTTGTGAAAATTCCGAATTAAAACTACAAGTCAGACGTGTCACATGTGACATCACAGCAGAATCTCTTCTCCCCAGCGTGGCTGCTACTGATCACATGACCAGATTCGTTTAATGCTCCTCCTGTCGTCCTGGAAGAAGCACGTGAAGCTCGCTAAACTCATCTTTTGTCTTCATGTCTGGTTTGATGACATCAACACGGTGGGACCCATTTGTAGCCCTGGACGTATTTTCACACAAAACCTAAAATAACTTTGCCCTTGTTCTAAATTAAACGCTTTCTTGGCATCAGCATGTTTTTAAAACTCACGGACATCATATGTGAAATCTACGGCACACAACAAACGGGTCAGTACGTAGCGTTCTTAGCCCCGTTGACTCCATTCTTCTGGAGACCCATGGTCCAGAAGTAGACGGGCGGGACTTAGGCTCCTTATAAATCATTTGGCACAAAATACAGCTTATATGTACAGCTGCTCTACAGAACAAGCTCCACCCCCAGGGCGGCAGCAAGGTCATTCCAGAAACAACTGATTGGAGGGAAAACGATGACCTGCTTCCTGATCCTGAGTCAGAATGGCGGGGGGGGGGGGGGGGGGGGGGGGGGGCATAACGAGGAGGCTGGGATTGAACCACCAACCCTCTGACGACCAGGTCGGAACGCAGAAATGATTTACAAACTTTCCTGCTTTCATCCTGAAAATTTAGGCTTTTTTATGCTAAATGTTTGAAATTAAAATTTTAAAATAATTTTCACGTTTTGATCGTATCGATGTCAGCTTCTAATCATGAAAACATGTTATTTTTGTCACATACTGAAGACGGGTGATTAGGGTTGGGCATCGTTTGATTTCGAACGATTCCAATTTCTCGTTTCGATTCCGGTTACTATCGATTCCCGATTCCGATTCTTTGAAGACATGACATGCTTTACATGAGCCAGCTAACCACAGGTCCTACTGGATGAAATAACCTTAACTTCAACATGAATTTTAACTCTATGAACAACATCACCTTCATTTAGACAAAAACGTGTTTTGGAGAAAAAAGAAGACGACTTGCAGCACAACCAGTGTGTTTGTTTCTGACCACAACCAAAGTGTGGAAGAAGCCTCTGGGATGAGAGGCTAAAAGTCTCCCACATATCCAGACACGTCCAGCTGTTTTCAGCTAAAACTCTCAGGATGATCATGTCCAGGATGACTGACAACTACACCTCCATGCTGCAGCAGCGTTCAGTCACAACAGGAACTTAAATGTAGCTGCTGTCAGTAACAATCTAACAGATTTTAAACATTAAAACTCTCAACAGTAATAGTTCAGAAGGGAAATTAAAATGTTATTTATTATTATTATAATTATTTATTGTGGCAGAAGCTGGTGTGTTCCACCACAGAGAAGCTGCTCTAGCATGATGACTTTAATTATTCTACAGGTTATTGTTCAACCTTCTGACGCGCGCACACACACACACACACACACACACACACACACACACACACACACACACACACACACACACACACACACACACACACACACACACACACACACACACAAAGTGTTGGTGAGCGGCTGCGTCTGACTGCTGACGCTCCGTGTGTTTTTATTTCTGCAGTGAGACACTCGCCTCACACCGTCCAGAGTTTGTTCTTTAAAGCTTCTATTAAATCCACCGTGTTGACGTATTTAACAAGTTTCCTCTACACTGCAGGAGTTAACGTTTATGTTACGGAGTAAACGTTTGGCAGACGCGTTTGTTTATATCTGGGTGGGGGGAGGGGGGACGTGCTGCACACAGACAGCTGGTGTGATCAGCTCAGATCACTTTTATTTTTCATAGAGATCGGCCACGGATTCCTCTTCTAGAAATCGAAACTAGAAATTGAAATAAAAAACTTTGAACGATTCCGGGAAAAATGAACTGTTGGAACCGGTTCCAATCGATGCTCGATGCCCAACCCTGAATATCCACGTGTACGGAGCATTAAATCTAGGACATATCTCCTCCTCTAAACAAACCCTGTTTGTCTGCAGAACTTCCTGTTTGGAAACTTAGATCCATAAAATGTGACCGATTGGAGCCATTGGTTCAGATTTAATCTCCACAGATTATTTAGCCTCTTAAATGCCTTTGCAAATGAGGGAGTCCGCCTGTAACTTCCCCATCTGTCCTGGAGTTCGTGTAGAGCGCCGTAACAGTCGATATCTAGGCTCCAAACATTTAACAGGATTCCTACATGATGATTTTTCCTCTAATTTTTGATGATTATGTGAATTGGGTTTAAATAAATGAATAAAAACAAAAACATCTGTAGGAATCCTGGGGCAGAACCTCTGAGGGTCTGCTGACCATTTGGAGGGCGGGAAACTCGGCCTTCCTTGATTTCCACGTTTAGCTGCCAGAGAGTCGGAGTTTTATCCCAACGGTCCAGAAAAACCTCGCGGAAGCAGAAACAAGAACATTTGAAATGAGCGTGAGCAGATGTGGATTCTGGGCCGTTTGCTTCACTGATTCAAAGCCGGTGTAAGTTTGCTGGAGCCAAGATGCTGCCAGGCTCCGCCCCCAAGCCCGGCATCCTCTGGATTTACAGTCACACCCACTTCCTGCTCCTGCGGTTAGAACGGGAGCTTCTTCAGCTGCTCAAACGTGATGAAAAACTAGAAAAAGAAAAAACTGTGTCAAGGAAAAATGTTGTCGTCGTCTGTTTAATGTTAAAATTCAAATCAAAACAAACTCCAAACAAAGTGAGGGGGAGGGGCTTAAATCAGCAAGGTTCCTGAGAAAAGAACAATAAAGACGTTGTTTTCTAAATGACTTCCAGAATCATAGGGAGGCGGAGCAGCGTTATGCGAGCTCTTAAAGGATACGATGATGTTCCACGGACCCAGTCGCAACCAGTTGGGCCAAAAGCCTTTGTAGAGAGCGAAGAAGCCTTCGTTCTTCCACGTCTTCATCACTCCGTCCAGAGTTCCTTTGTACATGGGGCTTCCAGACAAAACGCGCTGGTTCATCATGCGAGTACGGACCACGTCTACCGGGTTGGAGGCCAGCGCCCCCGCCAGGCCGCAGGTGAAGCTGGAGCTGGACACGGAGGAGAAGCCGTTAGTGCGCTGCCATGGTCTGACTGGTCAGACGATACAAACAGAGACCAACATGAAGTGTGTCAGAATGGTGTCTCCCATCAGGCCAGAGCGGAGGAGGTGCTTCTTTGTGATGTCATAAACAGGAAGCTCCACCCCGACAACGATGGCCGCCCGTTGTGCGGTGGGGATGACGCCCTGAGGAAGAGGAGGAAGAGGAGGATCAGGCTGGCTCTGACGGTGCTGCTGGGAAAATCCAGATGTTTCCTGATGTTCCTCACCCTCCACAGTCCTCTGGTGCCTTCGGTCTGGTAGATGTTGATGAAGTTGGACATCATGCTGCCCTGCAGGAGGCTGCCCTGGGCCTGCATCCGGATCTGGAACAGAGTCACACTTGCTGTAGAACCTCACGGTCACATGACACATTTAAAATGATTGTGATTATTAATCTAAACCACAGAGGTGCTGAGACTGTTTTCAGGTTAATCCTCCTGAGATTAGAGGAGAACGAGGACTCACCTTCAGAACGTCGGTGGGGTTGGCCAGAGTGGAGGACAAGACTCCAGAGACGACACCGCAGAACACGTTGATGACCATCGTCTCGTCTGTCAGACACAGGAAGGTGTGTTATCACACACTGACACAGGCTGACCCGGTAGAACGCTGCGTCGCTGCATCCCTACGAAAAACGCCCGGTTCACTGGAACTGTGCGGGAAGCCTGACTGCTCTCGTCTCATCTGGCTGCAGGCAGGGTTTCCCCCAGCCAGGCTAAGCGTCATGCCCCGCCCCCCTCCTCGACCCTACCGTGTCCGCTGACACGAACGGCGCAATGAAACTAGACCCTCGATCAGCTGATACTGGTGAGAAACAGCAGCGGAACATGTACAACTAGAACTGGGCGATATGACAATTTTAGACCGTTTTTCGATCTACACATCTGACGGTCTGTCGTTTTTGAGAGACCTTTTTATCACGATTCACAGCTCTGCTGTTGAAATTCTGCCTCTGAATGAAAAGGGAACTTACCTCAGGCGAATGACACGCCTTTGTTTGACCCTTAACCAATCAGAGTGAGTCATAGTAATATATTGGTGCCCCGCTTGTTTTCACCTGTGTGTGAACAAACATGGCTTCGGCCGCAGCTGAGAGCGACAACGAGGTTTTCGTTCCGAAGAGGAACGCCTCGTCCATTATATGAAACTGGTTTGGTTTTTCACCAGATGACAAAGAGCAGCGAAACGTCATTTGCAAGCAGAGCGTCAAGGCAAGTGATGGCAAGACCACAAACTTGTTTAATCACTTGAAAAGAAGCCATCCCAAACAATACAATGAGAGCCAGCTGGCAGCTAAAGCTAAAAAGCCTGCGGCTGCAGCGGCTAGTGCTTCTTCCAGGCAGCAAACGCTAACAGAAACACAAAACTCACTCCCTACGACAGAGACAGCAGACGATGGAACAGATGGACAGATGCAGTGACGTACCACTTGGTTAAAGATTTGTGTCCCGTGCGAACAGTAGGAACATGATAAAAACATTGAGTCCGCTCTACGAGTTTTCCAGCCGCAAGTATTTTTCAAACACCGCCATTCCACGCATGTACGCTGAATGCAAAGTGAGAGTTGCAGAAAATATTCAGAATGCGCAGTTATTTGCTACCACAAGCGATCTCTGGTCCAGCCGCACATCAGAGCCGTATTTGAGCTTAACTATCCACTACATGAGCAACTGGGAGCTACATAGTATTTTGAACGAGTTAATGTTTGCACAATACGTTTGCAATTGACATGTTTGCACTTTAAATATGTTTACGATTTTAATTTATGTTAAGTTACTTGAAAAACGAGAAAAACTGATTTTTGTAATAGTTTCTCTCAGGGCTTTTATCATCTCTGGTGTGAGTTTAAAATATAAGTGTGTTAGCACTGTGTTGATTATCCCTAATATGAATAAATGTTTATTTATTCAATGTTTCTCTTCTTTAATACGCAATTGAAGTTATGCTATTCATGGATAAAAAATCGTGATAAAATCGAAATCGTGATAAAATATTGGAAAAATCGTGATATTCTATTTTTGCCATATCGCCCAGCCTTATGTACAAACCCCCAACCCCCGCTTTCACGGAGGAGCGCTGCGGGACGGAGCCCCCCCCCCCCCGGCGGCCGAATCCGCCAGGCTTAACTCATTTTCTGGGGAAACCCTGCTGCAGGGAAACGCTTTTGCTCTGAGATGAAGTCGATGAGAATCTGTTCAGGATCAGCTGCTTCAAACCAGGAGGAAACATTCCGGGTTCTTCTCCGTTCTACTCGTTGTTCGGTTGACCAGGAGGGTTGGACTGTCAGTCTATTCATCTCTGCTTCTATAATATTTCTGTATCCTGTGTCAGAGATGTGAAACGTCTGTTGTGGGGAGCGTGGGGCAATAGGGTCATCTTAGTCCGGCAGTGTCTAAACCATGTCCCTGACACCCCCCACCCCCACACACAGCTGTCCCCATACACCCGATTCGGGGTCTGCCAGGAGAAGACGGTGTCCTCCTTCCTCCGCGAGTCTCGTGTTGCTGGCTGGTAGACACATTTAAAGGCACAGTGTGTAACATGTTTACTTGTTTACTGTCAGATTTTTTTTTATGTTTTATTTCATTCACAATGTATAAAATAAACACAAACAAATACAGGATACATTAACATATTGAAAAAAAACATTTGAATGAAAAGGAGCAGATAGAAGAAAAAATCTTATGATTTCTGCCCCTTTTTATGAAATAAAATTATCCGCCAAACAAACACAGTGTAACCTCAGTCACTTTCTAATATTTTCACGTCTAATCTTTGACATTTTAATTCTCCTTTTCATTATTTACTAAATACATTAGATTTTATACATTTTTTAAATATTGCAAGTGTAGTTGATTCTTTAAATTCCTTGTTAATGGCATTCCACAATCTTACATCATTTACAGAAATGTTACATTCCCTAACTTTGGTTCTGAATCTAGGTTTCTTGAAGACATCAGTTCCTTTTAACACGTACCCACTTACTCTCTTATGAAACATTTTCTGAATATTAGTTGGTAGATTACTCGTATTCGCTCTGTACATTATTTGCAATATTTTCCACTCTACCAAGTCAGGAAATTTCAGTATTTTGTATCTAATGAATAATTGATTAGTGTGATCTCTATAGTTACTGTTGTTAATGATTCTCAATGCTCTTTTTTGCAAAATGAACAGTTGTGTAAAAGTTTTGCAAGTGGCTCCCCAAATTTCTAAACAATAAAATAAATATGGTTCAATCAGTGAGTGATACAATGTTAACAACCCCGACAAATTTAGTAGAAACTTAACTCTATATAATACACCTATGGCTTTGGCGATTTTCCCCTTTATATAACCTACATGTGATTTCCACGTGAGACTCTCATCGAACAGGACTCAAAGAAATTTGGTTTCTTTTACTCTTTGAATTTCCATTCCATCCATCATTAAAGATACATCACAGCTTCTTCTGTTATTAAACAGTATATAGTTTGTTTTGTTCAGGTTCAGTGACAGTCTATTTATATCAAACCATTTTTTAACTTTAATCAATTCACTGTTTATCACTTGAGTTACTTCATGTATATTTAATCCTGAATAAAACTATGTAGTATCATCCGCAAATAAAACTGTGCCAAGTAAATTCGACACATTTACCAGGTCATTAATAAACAATATGAACAGTTTAGGTCCGAGGACTGACCCTTGTGGCACACCATAATAAATATCTTTTAATTCAGATTTAGCATTATTTATTTGAACAAACTGTTTTCTATTGCGTAAATAACCATTAACCCATTGATGCGCCACCCCTCTTATTCCATACCGGTGTAATTTAAGAAGTAACCTTGAATGATCAATGACATCAAATGCCTTTTTTAAGTCAATAAAAACACTAATGAAATGGTTTTTATTGTCAATTGCTGATGAAATTTTATCTACTAAATCCATAACTGCCATTGCTGTTGAATGTTTGGTCCTAAAGCCATACTGTTCATGATTTAAAATTGAATTTTCATCAATGAATTTGTCCAACCTTAATGCAAACACTTTTTCTAATATTTTGGAAAACTGTGGAAGCAGTGACACTGGCCTGTCATTCTGAGTATCCGTTCACAAACTTGTCCTTTTTCATTAGTAATTCTCACCAAAGTCTATTCTAGAAACTCTTCCTGTTAGCTGGAAATGTAACACTCAGACGTTTAGGAGGAGTTGGAGACCAAATGGAGACGGTCAGCAGGAGTGTGGTGAAGCTCACCTTCTGGGCGACTGACAAACAGCCTCTTCAGAGAATTGTATGTCCCAATCTTGATTGTCCCATAAGACGCTTGTCTCAACAGCGCAGGAGAAATGCTGCAAAGAGACGGGACAGAAGACACGCTTCACTGAGCTGAAACCAGGATTACGCGTTCGTCTCACTCCTCAGCTGTGGGGACAGGGACGATCAAACAACTCTTCAACATTAAACCTGCTCAAGACAAAAAGCTCTAAGTGTTCTGGATCAGGACATCGACAGCGCCGTTTGAAGATGATTCATACAGAGATAATCCACAAACACAAGAATTAAAGCACCGATGGTTCCATACCCGGAGTAGAGCGCCCGGATGCCCTCCTCTCTGCCGATCCTGAACAGAGCGTGGAACATTCCCCGGTAGCGTACCTCCGTGTACTGGGACTGACCCTGGACCTGCAGTCGCGTCTTTGTCAAGTCGACAGGAAAAGTCCCTGAAAAATGAAAATAAACACAAATTAAAATAAAACCTGTGTTATTACACCTTTGGCACAAGTAAGCTGCTTTAAGATGTGATCTGAACCGTCAGTAGAGGTTATTATGCTTTTAACACCTTCAACCCATCTATCCAATCATTTTCATCCGCTTATCCAGGGTCGGGTCGCGGGGGCAGCAGTAGCTCAGGTGGTAGAGCGGGTTGCCTCATGATCGGAGGGTCATGGGTTCGATTCCAGCTTTCGCCAGGGGTATCCTGCTGTTGTGTCCTTGGGCAAGACACTTCACCCAACTTGCCTGTGTTGGTGGTGGTCAGAGGGGCCGACGGCGCCAAATGGCAGCCTCGCCTCTGTCAGACCTCCCCAGGGCGGCTGTGGCTACAAGTAGCTTACCATCACTAGCAGTGTGTGAATGTGAGTGTGTGAAAGCGTCTTTGGGTGTCTAGAAAAGCGCTATATAAGTTCAATGCATTATTATTATTATTATTATTATTAAGTCAAGAGACCCAGACTTCCCTCTCCCCAGCCACTTGGGCCAGCTCCTCCGGGGGAATCCCAAGGCGTTCCCTGTCCAGGTGAGAGACATAGTCCCTCCACCGTGTCCTGGGTCTACTACCTTTAGGTCTTCTCACGGTTGGACGAGCCTGGAAAATCTCACCAGGGAGGCATCCAGGAGGCATCCAGAATAGATGCCCGAGCCACCTCAACTGGCTCTTCTCGATGTGGAGGAGCAGCAGGTCTAATCTGAGCCCCTCCAAAATGACCGAGCTTCTCACCCCATCTCTAAGGGAGAGCCCAGCCACTCTTCGGAGAAAACTCATTTCGGCCGCTTGTATCCACGATCTTGTTCTTTCAGTCACTACCCAAAGCTCGTGGCCATAGGTGAGGGTAGGAACGTAGATCGACAGATAAATCGAGAGCTTCACCTTCTGACTCAGTTCTCTCTTCACCACGACAGACTGGTACAACACCCGCATCACTGCAGATGCAGCACCAATCCTCCTGTCGATCTCACGCTCCAGTTTTCCCTCACTCGTGAACAAGACCCCGAGATACTTAAACTCCTCCACTTGGGGCAGGACCTCATCCTTGACCTGGAGAAGGTGTTCTACCCTTTTCCTAATCAAGACCATGCTCTCGGATTTAGAGCTGATTCTCTTCCCAGCTGCTTCACACTGGGCTACAAACTGCTCCAGTGCTCACAAAAATTAAAGGAACACATTAGATACATCAGATCTCAATATGAAGTTGGATATCTATACAAACTAGATAAATTGCATTTTTTGCAGAAATGCTGTTTGAATGCTGGATAGCTTAAACCAGGGGTGTCAAACTCAAACTCACAAGGGGCCGAAATGAAACTCTGGGACGGAGTCGAGGGCCAAACTTAATATTTTTTGAAAAAGTGACGGCAAATTTGCACATTTTCTTTATCAACATATATGCAATTTTGAACCTTTAAATTTGGAAACAAACTTATTTCTGCATTAACACTGAATGTGGAATAACCAAATTGCACACGAGCAAGTCAGTTTTAAATAAAAGGCATCAGTAGTATTCATTACTTGTGGTATAATCAGCATTTTTAAAATCTATTCAGGATTTATGTTTTCTTGTTTATTCATTTTTCTTATTTTTTATTCTCCTTTTTTCTCCTGTAATAAGTGTCATCGCTGCTGTGACGTCTAGCTTTCCCCACTGAGGAACAATAAAGGGATTTTCTATTCTATTCATCTATCTGCAGCCTTTCCACTTCCTGTTTACTGTAGGTTAAATCTTTGCTCACATGCCAACAACAAAATAAAAATATCATTTTATCTTAAATGAAAATGCAACATCTCACCTGTTAACTTTCATGTTTTGGAGCATAAAAAGAGCAGAAAACCTACATATTTAAAGCTCAGTTTGTTCCACTGGTTTACTGTGATGCTCACCTGTTCCAGCCAGATACCTGCATCGGTTGATCTGAGCTGAGGAGGAGACTCCTGTTGTTTTGTTCATCTTCATCATAATAATGACAACATTAGATGACAACAGGTGCTCACATAGGTTTGTGCTGATGAACATGTCTGAGCAGCTTGACCACGTTGTTGTGAGTCGGGGAGGAAACACGACAGCAGCCACAGAGCCGTGCTGGTTTGAGCGTGTCGCTGTTCGCTGGAGTTATATCAGCTCTGTCTGGACGTTAGTTTGAAAACTTTCTCTTTAAGTCGTGAACACATTACTGAGCGGCTAGAATCTCCGTTTCTGGGCTTCAACGTCAGAAAACGAGCTGAGTGAACTCGGCGCTGAGTGAGGAGTGTAGTTTGTCCGAGACAGCGGAGCTGCAGACACCCAACTACCTCTGACTGCCTCGGCGCTGAAAAAACACAAAGGAGGGGGCGCGCCTGCTCCGCGCTGGCGCCGCAAAGCATCATGGGAGTTGTAGTCTTTGCGGTAAAATCGGCCAGCGGGCCAGTTTCAATATATTTTTGATATTTATCTCGCGGGCCACATAAAAATGCCAGATGCGGCCCGCGGGCCTTGACTCTGACATATGTGGCTTAAACTGTTAGCTGAATCAGCTTAATAGCTGAACTGAAGCTGAAACTAAGCAAAACTGTCAAAATGAGCTGAATGTATTGAACGATGTAGAAGCAAAAAGCACTAACAAGCAAGTAAAGCACAAAAAGTAAGTGAGTAATAGAGAAAAAAAATCCTAAACAGCAGAAAACTGAAATCTGTGAACAGTGTATAAAAATCTGGACAGCTAAAATGTCTAAACACGTTATTTCAGTACGACAAGTTTAACAATTTAATATTTATATTAGCTGAACAGTGAAATTAGCAGCATATGCTAAATTTGGAAACTGATTGCTGAAGCTCCTGAATAGCTGAAGTGAAGCTGAAACTAAGCTAAACTGTCAAAATGAGCTGAATGTATTTAAAGAGCAAGTCACATCAAAACCAACTTATTTTAGCTGATAACTAGTATAGATGAGTGTCTAATAGTATTGTAGACATTTGTAGTTATTTTTGCATTTTGCTGTGTTTTCTTTGAAAATTCTAAATTCTGTCTACAAACGTCAGTCTAGCGCCATCTTCAGCTCAAAAGTATAGAACATGTTTATTTTGAGTTGGTTTTAGCCAATGGCTAACGAGAACAATGCTACGTATTTCAGAAAAGTACTACGTAGCAGCTCTGTGGCTGTAGGTTATAAAAGCACCGCGGTCTCAACCAGCCTTGTAGCAGTCGGGGCTCGTAAGTGAGTTGTGCTGTAGTTAGCATTAGCATTGTGTCAGAGTCCCAGCAAAACTTCTAGTATTAAAATTATTTAGTTCGAGTAGCTTGGCTGTTAGATTTTGTAGTTTAGTAATTTTTACATCAGACTCTTTCACCAACTTGGTGGAGCTTGAACCGTTTATGCTGGTTTGAAGAGCATTTCACAAATTGGTCCAAGCCGTTCCAGTAATTAGCCAGACCCCGCAGACTGCTGCTTCCCCAAAATGGAGCTTTTGGGCCCAATCTGAGTTGAGTAAGCTAAATAATTACTTTTAACAGCTTCTAAAGATTGTTCTCTAACTATAATTTTGCAGCTATATTTGCTATATTTATAATTACAAAGTAAGAGAGACGTAGACTTGGTTCACGTAATTTAGACAATCAGTCCACACCGCCGCAGGCTTGAAGCGAGTGTTGTGTATGTTATAATGTCACACACTGGTTTGGGTTGAGTTTTTGTACCAGTTAGTAATATCAGCGCTGATGCAGAGCAGGGGGGACACTGACGAGCAGCTCCTCCTTCTGCTAAAAAGCTGACCCGGTTCTGAACTGGTGCTGAGTCCAGTTCTCATTAGAACATGTGTGATTCTGGACCCTGAGTTAGCTCTGAGAGCAGTCAGATCACTCAGCAGCCATGTTATAAAGCACATATATTAGACAGATTGTTTTGTACACGATCTAAGTTACTAAACTCCCACAACAACGTGATGTTATTATATTTTTCAAGCTACATCTGCCCAAGACGGATGTAGTCCTCCACCAGCCTGCACCGGTCCAGGCTAGAGCCTTGCAGGTGAATTATTTAACCATTTGTCTTTCTTTACCTTCTAGTTTTTACATTATGTCATTATTTTAGCTTATTGTTACACGTGTGTTGCTGCTCTTAAAAACAACTATAAATATATTTGCTGTTTCTTTATATTTCACATGGCCTCCCAGCAGCTGTGTGTCTGACACTGGGGCCATGATGGGATTCCCACCCAGAGCAGCTTCTACACTCCTGAACAGACCAAGGTGTGGTGAGAGCTTCTGAGCAGCTTCCATCTGAATGACAGGACAAGCTCTATGAACTGATCCAGGTATAAACTTTCTAAATAATAATATTGTACTCTGTTTTCAGTTTTTTTTTCCTTACGTCTCAGCCTGGCAGGTCATCACTGGAGAGGAGTATCTTCCCAGACTCACACCAACATCCCATTTTACCTCAGGGCCTCCTGATCTAACAGAAAAACCTGTAGCTCCATCCTTGCTCTGCTTTCCACATGCTTCTCATCTCTGGAAGCGACCTCCCACAACACTGTGATGTAGAGGTGTGAATCTTCACTTGTCTCCCGATTCGATTCGATTATGATTATTGGGTCAACGATTCAATTCGATTCGATATCCCGATGCATCACGATTATTTCATATTGATTTGTTTTCATCGATAAATAGAAGATGTCAGATAATTGCCTTTTATTTTTATTTATTTATCTTTTTAATCAAAAACGTAATTGACACAACCTGCCATCTCTCAAAATCTCTCCATTAACAACAGGTTAGGACAAAACATTTTAAACATTTAAGAAGATTTAACAAAGTAAAAACATCTGTTTCCTCGTTCAACGCCTCAGGCTGAGAAAAACACGCTTTGCAAAAACTCACAAAATCTGAAAAAGTACTGAAAACCTACAGGACACATAATGTAATAATAAAATCCATAATGGGTTCATATATGAGTGTTTAATGTCTCTGAGTC